AGCCTCCCGGTCCCAGCCCCGGCGGATGAGCTGCCTCTGCCGGCTGCCAACAGCCCCAGGGCTGGGGAAAGCTCCCAAGGGAGACGCCTCATCGCGGCCGTGTTCCCTGAGCAATCAGGCGTGGCCAGGGAAATGGGAGAAGTGAAGGACCTGCTGGCACTGGCGGGGGTTTTTCAAGCATCCCACCAATACCTCTCTGCCTGCTGCCTCAGGCACCTTGACAAAGCGATCCTGGCACCACTGGCTGCCCCGGGGCTGACGTGCCTGGCTTTGGGATCTCAGAGAAGGCAGTGACTCCGTCACTCTATTTCCAGCTGCTTTTGTAAACAGGAGTTCAGATTTCTGCCAGTTTTTCTATTTCCACCAATATCCAGCAGCTCGTGCTAGGTGGTTAAAAATAGGATGGAAGCTGAGACAGGGTTTTGTTTTCCCTTGAAAAAGGAAAGTATGTCTTACTTGTGCTACTGACAGAAATTCCCACCTTTCTGAGAAACCCTGATTGCCTTCAAGAGAAGTGAAACCTGATTCCTTTAAAGCAGCAAACAGGAGGTGTTTTATACTGGTCACACAGCCCAGGCCTCCCTGGCAGTGGGAGGCAAATTCCATGCTCTCATAACTTCCAATATGTTTCTACTGTGGAGAACAGATGGCACTACCAAACACTCAGGGAGCCACCAACAAAAAAAGAGAGGGTTTTCCTTCAAAAACTCCCATAAGGCACTTGCCAAGGGCTGAGATGGGTATTTTGCCCTGAAAGGCTCATGATTCTGGTCTGTTGGCATGCTCCCATGATACTGATGCAGGCACCTGCTGGGACATGCATGGGACACAGGTTGGCTTTGGGACTAACAGTGGGAACATGGCTGGGAGGGCAAGCAGGGACCATAACACCAACCTAAGCCAGAGTGCAGGGCCACATGTGTGCAAGCATCACTGACAAACACACAGCCAGCACTCTCACCCCTGCAGCATGCAAGGAGAGAGATGTTACTGGGCAAGGAGGAGGGTGGCAGAAATACCAGGTGGTGTGGATGGAAACAAGGTGAAAGCCTCCTTGACCGAAGGATTCATTCCAGGCACTATTATCACCACTGCCCTTTAACCCAAGGTGTGAGGCACAGGCTGGGCTTCCTTCCCCCTGCTGGCCTGGAGCTGCTCACTGTGGGACCAGCATGGGGACACAGCAAGCAATGACCAACAGAGCAGCCCTGGGCAGCACAGGCTGAGACCACAGACCCATCACTCCCAAAACTTCCGCCACAGACACATCCCCAGTGCAGCGCCGGGAGCAGCTCCAGGCTCTGCCATGTCCCAGCTTCTGCTGCAAGATTTCCACATGGGGAAATCCTGCATGCTGGCTGCTGCAGACAGGGCCTGGCAGCAGGAGATTGTGTTAGGCTGTCCTTGATGCTGCTGTGCTCACCTGCCTCCCTGCCTGCTCTCCCAGAACTGTCTCCCCTCCTGACATTTGACAGTGTAAGACAAACTCCTGCAGAGCACAGTGCTGACTCCATCACCCCTGGCCAAACACCAGCTCCAGTGGCTGCTCCCTTTTTTATTTCAGGTAACTCATACAACATTGATTAGTGCTGGGCCAGGGACTCCAATCAGTGGAATTAAACACCCTACCCTTGAATTGTGAAAAATGAAGCCAAAGTTAGGATGAGGTCCTACACTTTCCTGGCACTGAACACAACTCCTGAGGAAAAAGGTCTAAAGTTTCCCTGGGGATGCTTGAGGGCTGCATGCTCCACGCAGGGCAGAGCTGTGACATGATCTTGTTACCCCCTGGCTGTCTCTTCTCCCCAGTCAGGGATACAACCTTCAAGTTTATACCTTGCTCACCTGCACAAGTACCCTCTGCTTCCTGGGGTGGGTTGCAAGCACAGCGCTGCCTGCACCCATCGTGCCCTTAACCCCACACTGGTCTCCTCAGCCTGAGCTCAGGGTCTGCTAGTGCCTCCAGCAGACCCACTGATACCCAAACCCAGAGCCCAGCCTTGCTCTAGAAACTCACCCAGCAGCAGGGCCTTCGCAGGGCCTCCCTCCCCGTCCTGGCCGCAGGGACAGGGCTGTTGCACCGCACTGGCTCTGCTCTGCTTCCTGTGATTGTGCAGCTCCACTTAGGAAAGCAGCTGGTGGGGCTGACACCAGCTCCTAGTGCTTCCTTCTGGGGAAGCTGCCTGCTTCCAAGGTGCCTTGGGTGCAGGCAGGACATAAGGCAGGTGCTGGGTGCTCACAGCACCTACTTGTCTCCAAAACTGGTTAAAAAAAAAAAAGTTTGCTCAGCTTTGAAGGGGGAGGAGAGAACAACTGCCCAGTAAACTTGCACCTGCCCCAACAAGGCCCTGTGTGTGGCTGCATCTGTGGGATGGGAAGACAGAGTGTGTTCCTCTTTGTCAGGCTGCTAGGGTGATCACCCCTCAGCCTCCCATGGGTTCCCCCCACAGCATTGCCAGCCCCAGCCTCCACCCAGCAGCCTAGCCCCTCAGCAAAACGACCACACAAGGACACAGTCACAGACCACAGCTATTTATTTAGATGTTATTATAAAGGAAATCATTGCAGGGGAGTTGGAATGGATGAGCTTTAAAGGTCCCTTCCAACCCAAATAATTCTGTATGATTATACGATGTGTACAGAAATAGGATGAGGAGAGATGCTCAACTGGTACCACTATGACGCACTGAAGGAAAGACACCTCTTGCCAGCTTGAACTGTTTCTGCTCAGCCCTGGGAAGTGACCAGAGCCAGCTGACTGCATCACTGGCTAGTGTGGCAAAGCTCAGGCACACAAAGAACAGCCCTGTGGCCAGGAAAGCTTTCAGAAGAGCAAGCAGCTCTGCTGCTCTCTGACACACACTGCCTCAGCAGCCCACTCTGAGACATGCCTTCTCCCCCATGCCCAGGTGCCCCACTCCCAGGGCTGTGGGAGATGAAAGGCTCAGCCCCAATGGAAGGGCAACAGCAGACATGGCCCAGGAAGGACTCCACATTACCTTCTCTAGCCAGGCTAGGAGCTGTGCCCATGGCTCAAAAGCTAGCAGGAACAGGTGACACACAGGGTCTGTCACAGTGGCAGGACAACTCCCTGTCAGGGCACTGAAGGTCAGCTTGCTACCTCACACCTAGAAATCAGGCAACACTGCAGGAGTAAGGGGAAGAGACAAGGGACAGATGCTTGCAGCCACCAAATGCAGTAAGAAGTGCAGGACCCAGCCTGTTCACTTCCACCTGGGCAGGGAAGCAAGGCAGCAGCATCCACCAACTGCATCCAGCCTGACACAGCACGGACACCTTGGGCTCAACTGCCTTCATCCTCCACGCCACTGCCCATCTTTGACAGCCACAGGACACAGCCTGGGCTGCAGGCTCCCCTCAGCAGCCATAGAAAAGTTCCCAGAGTTTCCTACACCACCTCAGAGAGAGTCCAGCTATAGGTACACAGAGCAGAGTATCAGAACAGGTCAGCCCCAAAATTATTCCCTCCTGGCAAATCCTCAGTGCTGCCAGCAATCAGGATAGTATTTAGAAGAATCTGCTTTGAGAGATCATCTGTTAATGCAGCTGTTTGTCCCTGCCCAGCAAGGTGCCCAGCATCACCCCGAGGAGCAGGAGGAAGTGGTGGTCACATCTCATCGCTATGGTGCTGCTGGATGACAACTCTAGCAGCACGTTCCACCCACTCCTGCCTTTTGGCTTTCCACACCACTGGCACATCAGGCTGCAAAGGGTTCCTCTGGGAGCCCTGCTCCTGAGGCTGGGAAGGGCCCAGCTTGGAGTCTGCTGCCTCCGGAGGGTCAAAGGATGAGTTGCTGTTGAAAGAAGATCTGGCATCGGGGTTGAGTGGACTCAGCCCCTCTTCCCATGATTGATTGAGGCTGCTTGACAGCAACGGGTCTTCAGGCTCTGGGCTGAGCCCCTCCAGTGCAGTTTTCACTTGCACCTCAGGTGCTGCCTGGTTTGGTAGCTCACGGATCTGCCGCGACAGCACTGCAAGAGAGGTAGAGCCCTGTCACCCCCAGCCTCTCACCGTCCTGCTCCGAGCACAGGACACCACAGAGCCCATCAGAGGGGAACCAATGATGCAGCCAGGGAGGGGACCCTGCCCAGCTGCCAGGCACAAGCACAGGTGATGCTCCAAGAGGGAATTGATCCCTTCAGTTCTTGCACCTGGCCCAGGGCCCTGCAAGCCTCTGCAACATGGCTGAGGAAGAGTCCAGTGCTGGGGTGAGACAGCAAAGCAAAACCCAGTGGTCTGCCCAGGCAAGGGGTGCTGGGTTTGGGAGGCAGCCCAGAGTTCAGGCTGTCTCCAAGCAAGAGGCCTCCCACCCTGGAGGTCAGTGGTTCACCTGGAACCATGTCCCAGCCCCTGGGCACTCACCTCTGAGCTCTGGCTGTGTCTCTCTGTTCCCAAACAAGCAGATGCTGGGGGATAGAATGAGGCAGAAGGACAGAAACACAACCTGGAAACAAGAAGATTATTAGCACAGACCTCAGCCAAGGACATGGCAGCAACAAACACCTCTCTCCCAGACTTGTAAGGGAAGCAGAAACCCTTTCACAGACATGGGGGATGAAGCCACTCACCATGATGCAGGTTTTCCCTGTAGTAGTTTTGGTGGTGGACCTGCTCACAAAGGCCTGCAGCTTCCGCAGCTGCTTGAGCAGGGACCTGCAGGAGAGCAGGCAACACAGGTTAATGCAGTGGATGCACCAAGAGCTGCACAGTCCTCTCCTCCCACATTTGCAGCCATGGACAGGCCACTATCCCAAAAGGAGCAACAGCCTTCCGCAGCACATCTCCTGCTCTGTTCAACAACAAGAACTCACATGTTTTGCTCCTGCAGCAGCTGCACCTTCTTCACCAACTCGTGGTTCTGAGCTGTGCAGGCGGCCACCCTTCCCAGGGAAGATGAACACAGCATGGGGGAAAAACAGAGAGCTTTTGTTAGTCAACAGCAGGGGCTTCACCAAAGTCTCTCCTCAGGTAATCAGCTACCACCTCTGGGTGGCTGGGGTAGATAAAATTGCTCCTGGGGTCTACATGGCATCACCTGGAACAAAGCTCAACTCACAACAGGTTTGGGGAGGGGTGAGCTCTGCCCAGTTCCACAGAGAAGCACCAGACTAATCTATAAGGATGCTCACTCCTAGCAGCATGTCAGCCCTGCAGATTCACCATGTCAGGCTGTATTGTGAATCAGCCTGACCTGAACACACTAGATATGGCAGGCGAACACCTGGCTTGAACAGAGCAAGCTCTGGGCCATTTCCAAGCATAAGAGAGCAGGGTTGGTTAAGCCCTGAGCTTCTGAGACCCCTGAGGAGACCTGCTGTCTCACAAGGTCAACCTCATTTCTGCCCAAGATGGCAAGACCCCAGCAGTGGCAGAGAACAGCTGCTTGTGACTGGTACCCTATGCTCACAATCCCTGGCACTGTGGCCAGCACAACTAACACCATTCCACGAGGCATGCAGCCATCCTCTGTGATCCAGCACGTCACATATTCACTCCTATCTCCCCATTATCAGGCCCTGAAAGTCTCGTGCACCCAGTAGACAAACCAAACATATTTCTTCTTCCCCTCCCTATCAGCCCTCAAGGCTCCTGGGTGCCAGGACGATTCCTCTCTTCCTCACTGGCCTTGGAGGTCTCAGGCACCCAGCCAGCCCAGTGCTGTTGATAACCCTGTCACAGAACAGGGAAGCACAACAGCACATTGTACACAATCCATAAAAGCAAGCAGTTTCAAGTCCTAAGGGGGAATTTGGACTGAAGCAGCTGTTGGATGGTGTGACCCAGGACTTCCCCTGGCCAGGGACACCTCCACCATTACCTGCTTCCTCTGAGAGATGAGGAAGTGACACCTTTACACCATTTTCAAGACTAGATTATCATCATTACACTGATATGTGCAGGAAGAAAGTCAGAAGGGCCAAAGTAAAACTAGAACTTAATCTGGCTATTGCCATTAAAAAAAACATAAAAGATGTTTCTCTAAGTATATAAGCAACAAAAGAAGGTCTAAGCATAATGTTGTTTATCAGATGTAGGGGGAAACACAGTGACAAAGGATGAGGAAAAGGCTGAGGTACTTAATGCCTTCTTTTTTCCTCAGTCTATACTAGTAAGAGCTGTTGTTTGCTGTGTACCGAGTCTCCTGAGCTGGGAGACAAGGACAGGGAGCAGAATGGAGCCTCAGTGCCAGGGAAGCTTATGGAGCAGATATGTCATTATGCAGCACATACAGGACAACCAGGGGATCAGGCCCAGTCAGTCTGTGTTCATGAAAGGCAGGTTCTGCTTGATGAACCTTCTTCTCTGACAGGGTGGCCCCCTTAGTGGATGAGGGTTTACCTGGACTTAAAGCTTCCGACACACTTTCCCACAGCATTCTCCTGGAGAATTTGGCTGCTCATGGCTTAGACCAATACACTTTTCTCCAGGTAAAACCTGGCTGGCTGGCCAAGCCCAAAGAGTTGTAGTGAATGGAGTTCAGTGCAGCTGGTGGCCAGACACCAGTGATGTTCTCCAGGGTGCAGCACTGGGGCCAGTTCAGTTCAGTGATTTTAATCAGTGATCTGGACAAGGGGATCGAGTGCACCCCCAGCTTGTAGATGACACCAAGTTGGGCAGGAGTGTTGATACACCTGGGGGAAGGAAAGCTCTGCAGAGTCCTGCACTGGGGTCACAACCACCCCACGCAACGCTACAGGCTTGGGGAAGAGTAGCTGGAAAGCTGCCCAGAGGAAAAGGACCTGGAGGTGCTGGTGAACAGCCAGTTTAACATCAGCCAGCATGTGCCCAGGTGGCCAAGAAGGCCAACAGCATCCTGGCTCGTGTCAGGAATAGTGTGGCCAGCAGGACTAAGGCAGTGATTGTCCCCCTGTGCTCAGCAATGGTGAGGGGGAACCTTGAATCCTGTGCTCAGTTTTGGGACCCTCACAACAAGGACATTGATGTGATCTGAGAAGGGCAACAAAGCTGGTGAAGGGTCTGGAGAACAAGTGTTATGAGGAACAGCTGAGGGAACTGGGGTTGTTCCCAGGGAACTGGGGAAAAAGAGGATGGGGGAAGACATCTTATTGCTCTCTGCAACGGCCTGAAAGGATATTGCAGCGAGTGGGGTCAGTTTCTTCTCACAAGAAATAAGCAATAGGACAAGACAAAGTGGCCTCAGGTTGCACCAACAGAGGTTTAGATTGGATATTATGAAAGATTTCTTAACTGAAGGAGAGGTTGTCAGGCAGGGGAACAGGCGGCCCAGGGAAGTGGTGGAGTCATCATCCCTGGAGACATTTAAAAGTTGTGTAGATGTGATGCTGAGGGACACAGTTTAGACTTTGCCATGCAGGGTTAATTGTTGGCCTTGATGATTTTAAAGGTCTTTTCCTCCCAAAATGATTCTATGATTTTATAAGCATACATTAATCACAGGATGTTAGGAAAAATAAGCTTTAATTGAAACTATGATTTAGTGCCATGATCGTTCTGCCAAGGCTCCCTAAAAGAATCTGACTGTCCCCTCAGTGTCGGGTGACACTTCTCTGTGCCCGCACCTGTTTTCCAGATTGTCCACATAGATCTTCTTCCTGCGGCGACTATCCTGGGCTGACTGCTTGTTCCGAATCTTGCGACGGACTTTCTTCAGGAGCCGCTCCTCAGCCTGCAAGGGGTGGTTCTCGTTAGCAGCCACCCCAGGACACTGGCAATCCCGCCCTCACAAGCCCCTGCATGCATCTCGGCACTCAGCCTGTGTCCTTTAGTCCTCTGTCCTTCCTCCCACACCACTGAATGAACTGCAGGAGCTGCAAGGCGGCCTGCTAATGGGGCCAGCAGCTCCCCCTGTGCGGCTAAAGTGAGGCACACCTAAAGGAGCTGAAAAGCAGTCAACCCACAAGCCACTAGGCAAGTGGGAAAATACAGGCTGGAGGCACTTGTGGTGGAACTGCCTCTTGCAAGCAGTCTTGAGCTGAGAGCCTGACTGCAGCCAGGTCTCACTGCTCTTTGTATTCACCCCATGAGCAAAGCTGCTGAGGACACCTTCCAGGCCTTGAAAGGAGGAAAAGGACACTAAGCTGTCTCCGAACCCTGCCCTGAACACAGCACCTGAACACCAATGCTCTCATCAAGGTATCATCCTCTATTTCTGAACTCCTACTCTGCCTGAAGCATTTATGGGGCCTAAGCCTGCTCAGGAGTGACAGGCTGCAGCAAGGACTCACTTTGGTCAGTGGCAGGCAGGTTGGTAATGAAACACCTTCTTTCTTCAGGAGCTGCTTCTCCTCCTCTGTCAGGACCAGCTCTGGAAAGTCGGACTGGAAAACATAAAAAATACAGCCACTGAGAGTGCAAAGTAAAGCAAGTCCACCCCAGGGAAGAGAGGGCACACAGAAAACACACAGAACTGGGATCAGCTCTCCCAAAGCAGCATTGTGCTTTCCTCAGAGACACCCCTCCCAATAGCCACATCAAGAGAGAGGGGAGATATGAGCAGAAGCAAAGGCTGGGGCCCATATTCATGGCAGTCAGTACCTGTACAAAGGCTGCAGCAACAAGCTGGGGTCCAGCATCCACAGCAACAGCAATGGGTAAACTGTAGCTCTGTTCCAGTGCCTTGCTTGTGCCTTCTAAATCCTTCCACACCTCTGGGGAGGAAAGGAGAATCAAACACTGGACCTCAGTGAGGCAGCACCTGACCAGCCAGCTTTGAGTAGGATGAAATCAGAATTTTACAGCAGCAGAAAGCCATTGAATTTGGCTCTCCCATCACTGCCTGACACCTGCTAAAAATCCCCAACATGGGACTGCTTTTCTCCCTGTAGCCATGACAGAACAACCCCCCACACATCACTTACCAACATCAATGGAAACATCTCCTTCTGACATTTCAGACCTCACACTTTCCAGCACAGGCCAGTCCTGATGAAGGGAATAGTTGTGATCAGCATGCACAATGTTTGTGCTGCCAGCAAGATCACTGCCAGGACTATGGGACAGGTGTTGATCCTCAGAGACCCCACTGTCACTGTCAGCAGGTGAAGAATTCTGCAATGTGCCTGGATCATCTTCGAAGGGGCTCAGCAGGGAGCTGATGAAGTCATCCATCTCTTTATCCAGGAACTGCTGAGAAAAAGCCTATACTCAGCAGGGAACCAATCTCCCAGACCACAACCCAGCAGCAATTCCACCCAAAGAACTCGCCTCAGGCTCCAGCACGGTCCAGTCTTCCAGAAGACTATTCTCCTGCTCTGTGATTTCAGGGCAGGGAGCATCATTGTTCAGGAGAAAGTCAATCAGGTCCTCATCTGCCAGAGTATCCTCTGCCTCTGGGCACAACATCTGAACAGGACACCCAAAGTAAGCACAGACATCAACACTGCTTCAAGAAGCCCCTAACTCCCTGTGCAATGGCAACAGTTGACAGGGTCCCTGAGAGACAACCAGCCCACAACAAGGCTATTATTCCAGCACTGGTGGCCCCACCACACCAGCTTCCCCACCAGACTCCTGGGACAAAGCCACGGGAGCCATGCTCCACCTAGAGCACAAAAGACAAAAGGTGCAGCAAGGAAAGGGAAAGGGGAAGGGCCCTGGACTTTCTGCCATGAACAGCACGCAAGATCCTACCATTCCACTGATGCAAGAAGGTGCTGCTGTGTGGCCAGCAGGGCCCGTCTCCTGTCGCAGATGAATTATTAAGAGAAGTCATTCTCATGGGGTTAACCAAAAAGGGCTTTATTAGCAATTAAGCTATTATCAAATTATAATTAACTGCGACCGGATGAAAACGAAACAGCAATCAGATGGCAATTAAGTGAGAACTGAACGGTAATTAAACAGCTCTTTGACAACTATTTAAGAGGTTATTTAAACAACAATTTAGGCTGCAAACCCTCTGCCTCTCACCACACTCCAAATAATTCAGCTACAGCTGAGATACATCTATATGCATATATATATAGAATAAAAAATATCACATATACATATATACAATAAAAAATCGAGCACATCACATACTTTTAGGCTGAGTGTAACATGTCCCTTACCTCGCAGCAGCTGATGCTGGGCAGAGGGTCCCTCAGCCTCGACGAGGAGCCTTGGAGATGTCCCTGCTCTCAGGGCAGATGCCGCCGTTCCAGAGTCCCTGGGCTCGGGGAGGCTCCAGGCATTTATAGTGTAAAGCGAGGGGCCTGTAGTTGAATTCCACCCTTGGTTTTTGTGCACATGTGCAGCTGTGCCAGTTTTAGTTTTGTCTAATTCCGGCTCCGGCAAGCGCTGCTATCTCTTGATAAGATGTGTCCGAGGTTCCCTGGTCCCTGAGAAGATGCGGGCAAGCATGGTTCTCACGGTGTGCAGGGCAGGGCTGGCACCACTCAGGGCTGCATGTCCGTCAGGCGCAAGGGCAGCCACACACCCCCCTGCCAGCACCTTCAGCTTTCACATCTAGCTGTCAGGTGTCGCAGTTCCTAACACAAAAAAACAACAACACCCCAAGCTCCCCCAAAAACAACCAGGCTGGGGCAGACCTGGGCCTCAGGGCTGCTATGCCAAATGCCTGGGAATCAGAGAATCACCTGGGTTGGAAAAGACCTGTCGGATGATTGAGTCCGACCATTTAACCCAGCACTTTCAAGTACACCACTAAACCACGTCCCCCAGCCATGCCTCTTAAATGTCTCCAGGGATGGGGACTCAACCACCTCCCTGGGCAGCCCGTTCCACCGCCTGACAACCTCCCTTTCCATGAAAAAAATATTTCCTAAAACCCAATCTAAACCTCTCTTGGTGCAACCTGAGGCCACGTCATCATGTCCTATCACTTCTTTCTTGTGAGAAGACACGGACCCCCACCTTTGTGGGGGGTCCCACCCTCCTTTCAGGCAGCTGCAGAGAGAAATAAGGTCTCCCCTCAGCCTCCTTGTCTCCAGGCTAAACAACCCCAGTTCCTTCAGACACTTGTAAGACTTGTTCTCCAGACCCTTCACCAGCTTTGCTGCACTTCTCTGGGTATGTTCCAGCCTCTCAACGTCCTTCTTGTTGTGAGGGGCCCAAAACTGAGCACAGGATTCAAGGTGCTCCCTCACCACTGCTGAGCACAGGGGGACAATCCCTGCCCTGGTCCTGCTGGCCACACTATTCCTGACACAGGCCAGGATGCTGTTGGCCTTCTTGGCCACCTGGGCACACACTGGCTGATGTTAAACTGGCTGTTCACCAGCACCCCCAGGTCCTTTTCCTCTGGGCAGCTTTCCAGCTACTCTTCCCCAAGCCTGTAGCGTTGCGTGGGGTGGTTGTGACCCCAGTGCAGGACTCTGCAGAGCTTTCCTTCCCCCAGGTGTATCAACACTCCTGCCCAACTTGGTGTCATCTACAAGCTGGGGGTGCACTCGATCCCCTTGTCCAGATCACTGATTAAAATCACTGAACTGAACTGGCCCCAGTGCTGCACCCTGGAGAACATCACTGGTGTCTGGCCACCAGCTGCACTGAACTCCATTCACTACAACTCTTTGGGCTTGGCCAGCCAGCCAGGTTTTACCTGGAGAAAAGTGTATTGGTCTAAGCCATGAGCAGCCAAATTCTCCAGGAGAATGCTGTGGGAAAGTGTGTCGGAAGCTTTAAGTCCAGGTAAACCCTCATCCACTAAGGGGGCCACCCTGTCAGAGAAGAAGGTTCATCAAGCAGAACCTGCCTTTCATGAACACAGACTGACTGGGCCTGATCCCCTGGTTGTCCTGTATGTGCTGCATAATGACATATCTGCTCCATAAGCTTCCCTGGCACTGAGGCTCCATTCTGCTCCCTGTCCTTGTCTCCCAGCTCAGGAGACTCGGTACACAGCAAACAACAGCTCTTACTAGTATAGACTGAGGAAAAAAGAAGGCATTAAGTACCTCAGCCTTTTCCTCATCCTTTGTCACTGTGTTTCCCCCTACATCTGATAAACAACATTATGCTTAGACCTTCTTTTGTTGCTTATATACTTAGAGAAACATCTTTTATGTTTTTTTTAATGGCAATAGCCAGATTAAGTTCTAGTTTTACTTTGGCCCTTCTGACTTTCTTCCTGCACATATCAGTGTAATGATGATAATCTAGTCTTGAAAATGGTGTAAAGGTGTCACTTCCTCATCTCTCAGAGGAAGCAGGTAATGGTGGAGGTGTCCCTGGCCAGGGGAAGTCCTGGGTCACACCATCCAACAGCTGCTTCAGTCCAAATTCCCCCTTAGGACTTGAAACTGCTTGCTTTTATGGATTGTGTACAATGTGCTGTTGTGCTTCCCTGTTCTGTGACAGGGTTATCAACAGCACTGGGCTGGCTGGGTGCCTGAGACCTCCAAGGCCAGTGAGGAAGAGAGGAATCGTCCTGGCACCCAGGAGCCTTGAGGGCTGATAGGGAGGGGAAGAAGAAATATGTTTGGTTTGTCTACTGGGTGCACGAGACTTTCAGGGCCTGATAATGGGGAGATAGGAGTGAATATGTGACGTGCTGGATCACAGAGGATGGCTGCATGCCTCGTGGAATGGTGTTAGTTGTGCTGGCCACAGTGCCAGGGATTGTGAGCATAGGGTACCAGTCACAAGCAGCTGTTCTCTGCCACTGCTGGGGTCTTGCCATCTTGGGCAGAAATGAGGTTGACCTTGTGAGACAGCAGGTCTCCTCAGGGGTCTCAGAAGCTCAGGGCTTAACCAACCCTGCTCTCTTATGCTTGGAAATGGCCCAGAGCTTGCTCTGTTCAAGCCAGGTGTTCGCCTGCCATATCTAGTGTGTTCAGGTCAGGCTGATTCACAATACAGCCTGACATGGTGAATCTGCAGGGCTGACATGCTGCTAGGAGTGAGCATCCTTATAGATTAGTCTGGTGCTTCTCTGTGGAACTGGGCAGAGCTCACCCCTCCCCAAACCTGTTGTGAGTTGAGCTTTGTTCCAGGTGATGCCATGTAGACCCCAGGAGCAATTTTATCTACCCCAGCCACCCAGAGGTGGTAGCTGATTACCTGAGGAGAGACTTTGGTGAAGCCCCTGCTGTTGACTAACAAAAGCTCTCTGTTTTTCCCCCATGCTGTGTTCATCTTCCCTGGGAAGGGTGGCCGCCTGCACAGCTCAGAACCACGAGTTGGTGAAGAAGGTGCAGCTGCTGCAGGAGCAAAACATGTGAGTTCTTGTTGTTGAACAGAGCAGGAGATGTGCTGCGGAAGGCTGTTGCTCCTTTTGGGATAGTGGCCTGTCCATGGCTGCAAATGTGGGAGGAGAGGACTGTGCAGCTCTTGGTGCATCCACTGCATTAACCTGTGTTGCCTGCTCTCCTGCAGGTCCCTGCTCAAGCAGCTGCGGAAGCTGCAGGCCTTTGTGAGCAGGTCCACCACCAAAACTACTACAGGGAAAACCTGCATCATGGTGAGTGGCTTCATCCCCCATGTCTGTGAAAGGGTTTCTGCTTCCCTTACAAGTCTGGGAGAGAGGTGTTTGTTGCTGCCATGTCCTTGGCTGAGGTCTGTGCTAATAATCTTCTTGTTTCCAGGTTGTGTTTCTGTCCTTCTGCCTCATTCTATCCCCCAGCATCTGCTTGTTTGGGAACAGCTGCAGCAGCTGATGTTTGGTGCATCCCAAAGCAGCAGCTCTGGGGAAGGGGCGTGGGAAGGCTGAGGAAGAGGGAACGGGGCACGAGGGGCCTGTGAGGCAGCCTCGTTTCTAGAGCTGAACTTTGCTAATGCCTGGAAGGAGAAATACCCCACAAAACCCAGCGATGCTCTCACTTCCCCCTTTTCCACCTGCCTGCTGGCTTTGCAGCAGGCAGATCGCTTGCCCTGGCAAACATGGGTGCCTGGATCAGGACATCTGATGGTCTTGGAGGCCATGAGAGCACCTGCTGCACCCCCAGTGCAGCTTTTGGGGTGCTGTGCTGGAGGGCCAGCTTGCTAAGGGCACGGGAGACTGTGATGAAAGTCATGGCCTTGCTCACCCCCTTGCCTGGGTAATGGGCAGCCCAGGGGTGCCAGCATTTGTGCCTGCTCCCTTTGGAGAGCAGGGAATGCTTGTCAGGAGCGGACAGGCCTGAGGACATGTGGGAGATGCTGTCAGTTCATTTCCAGAGCTGCTTCACCCCAGTGTGGATGAACATGCAGGCAGGAAAGCTGTGATCCTCTGGCCATGCTGCCAGCTTCCCACGTGGAGCAGGGCTGTCCTTGCTTGGGGGAGAAGGTGCTTCTGCCCCAGCTGTGGGTAACAGCCGAGTGCTCACAGGGGTGCCATGGGGCTGGCCGTGCCAGCCACTCAAGTTCCCTGGAAGTGAGCTCAGCCTCAGCTGGAAGCACCATCTTCCATTCTGACATAGATG